TTGCGGGAGGGGTCACCAAAAACACGTGCACGACACACCGCGACATCCCACTCACCAGAAATACGTTTTTCATGAACACTGTCATGCTTGCGCACATCATTGACCATATGGGCCTCGCGACGCTTGAGACATCATGCATCATCGATATAGAAAGCCAACAACTTATACAACTACCACTTAACGACGTGCGACTGATGCGACTTCTCCCCCCCCCCCGCCCCTCCCTAATGCAACCCTGCCGGAGAAGTAATCTTTTACTGTGGTTGCTGAAAGTGTGTTTTGAATTAGATCGTACCTCATGCAAATGCTATTTTTCAAATGTCTCGACGATGCATTTTATGGCAATATGATTACACAAATTTGTGCACGTGTACTGTGATCGTAACTGCACGTTTAAAATGCAACACTTTTGCTGGAAAACGATTATGGAACTGATCGAACCGTCGATGGGACAGATAGATTTTGGCAGCATTCTCCATCGGCACTCCGAAAACGATGAGTGCACAATCTGAAGCCTTGAACAAACGACCAAGGACGTCAACACTGAATATGTTGCGATGCACAACTAACAAGGTGCAAAAACCTGCTTCCTAAATACTCCGTTATATATATATATATATATATATATATATATATATATATATATATATATATGTATATATGTATATATATATATATATATAAATGTGTACATATATACAAATGTGTATATATATATATATATATATATATATATACACACTTCTAATATTTTTGCAACCATAGATTGATCAACCAACCATAGGTAACAAATCATATCCAAAGTTATGGCTCATAGGGTAAATTTCTATCAGTCATATGTTCTGTAATGATAAAAGTTTTCAAAAAAACATTTTGAAAACAAAACAAAAAGCACATTGACCCAGAATCTTGGCAAAATTTGCTCGTGCTCAGCAATTGTATAGTATGATGTAATGAGGTCATAACGAAGGAATCGGTATTAATGGCATGCGGCAACAGACAGTAAGCTACTAATCCGATGATATCACTCCCTAGCGGAACATATTGTAGACAAAGGCAGACAACGCGCACAATGACATCAACGGAGGTTAAAAGATATCAATAAGCACAGCTATCTCCACGTGTGGTTTGTCGGAGCTGTTTTTGGTCAGTGAGAAGAAATCACCAGTAAAAGAACATCTCGCGTGTAAAATGTAGGTGCATCTCAGGTGAATAGTTTTATCTATGACACAAACATTCAGCTAAGATGCACATCTGAATGTTTGTATTACATATATATATATATATATATATATATATATATATCCCAAACAGCATTCCCAAATGGGACCCACATAGGCTACACGTGGGGCAACTGGGTTAATGTGGGCATGGGCTACAGATGGGCTTTTAACTGGGCTCCAGCTGGGTCCCACATGGCACGCCCATATCGTTTCATATTTTTGTATGCACCAGAGCTCTTCCTGCCTTGTACTGCTCCGTCCGAATGTATCACGTCAAGAAGGAATAGCTCGCCAGGAGGGAATACTTGTATTGGTGAGATTCATGTGGGGCATACGTGGGCAGGCTGGGCCCATGTCAACATGGGCTGCCGGTGGGCTGACATCTAGGCTTAATATGGGGCCCAGATGGGCTGCCCATTGGGGTGTGTCATCGAGGGGGTGAATCTCTTGGAATCCGCTGGGACAAAATTTTTCCTTGGCACACGGATTAATGATAAACTTTCAGGTCTGTCGTACCTTACCGATGCTGATATTCGTGAGGCAAGAGCAGTTTTCTTTCAAAGGCCAAGAAAACCGCATTCGATATTAGCGCCACCTATTTTACGAACTGGGATCAACCTCCAACACGCCTCAAACCTGCCACTTTCCACACTACTGGTACTTGGTGGATTAAGTATGAAATAGATAGCATGAAAAGCACCAGAAAAACATTGCTAAACAGCTTTTAAACCGACTTTTCAGTAGAAAACATAAATTTTTGATAAAACCCAGAGCTGTGCAATTATGAGAAGGCTCCAGCAGACCGGGTTAGGTTCCAGTTTGTTATTGCTAACGCACCCTTGTGATGTTGATTTGCAATTCATGTGCTCTTTGCGTGAGAGATAGGGGCTTATTAGTTTAGTTTTGCCGGTACTGGAATATTTGTTTCGAGCCATTGATTGCATAAGCACGCAGAATGCTATACGGTCGCACACTAAACGTTTTGTGATAGGCCACCCGGCTCTTCTGTTCTACCACCTGAGCTGGAGCTTCGGCAAGATATGGAGCCCAGCTGCGACGGTATTTCTGCTACCGTGCGATATCCGCCAACACACGTTTTGGGTTTCCAGTCTTTGAGCAGTTGCTGTTTGGGTCAATGCATCGAATACACAGGCTCGGCAAGGAGCAAGATACGCATGGGGTCACCCTACCGCCCCTCCCCCTCCTTCTAAACGTCCTTGGTACAGACTGCAGAACTTGCTGTATGTATTAAGTAGTACACCAGACAATATATTCTGAGTCATATGCTATACATAGTTTTGTTTGCATCACGTGAGTTGTCTTAGAGAAGTGAAAATCTAAAGCAATACTAACCAGCATACTCGTACGAGTTCATACTCGGCAACACATAAAGCTTCCGCCAAATTGCAATCAAGCGGGCAATGCCTGATCCAGAT